TTTTTAAGAAAAAAATTACACTTTTATTTCACACTCCAAAACATATTAGATTTCGTTGAGAATTTCGAACGAGTAGTTGAAATTAGCTAGTCACCAGTATAAGTAGGTATTTAAAGTGTATTTATATGTATATATAGATGGTGCAAAGTGGCCCAAGTGTGTCGAGCTCTCAAAACGTTGGTCTACCACTCTAAACTTTAAACTAAACCAATTAACTATTCCTTCAAAATTAAATTTCTATAGTTAATATTGTATTGAACTATTCCAAAAAATATTCTGTTTTGGAATATCAAGTGATTGAAGGGAACAATATGCCATTCAAAAAGCTAAATCAAATTTTTTTTTAAAGTTGTTTTGCAATTGCATAGAATAAAATAATATTAAACAAAAAAATATAAAGCTTTTTGAAATAATTTGTGTATGGACACTTAAATGGTTCACCTTGTATCATCTTCATCTTAGGGTATATCACCCATTCATTGACCTTCCTGTAACACCACATCCAATCTTCCAATTTTACATTCCAGCTGCTCGTATTTTCCATTCTGTTCCCCGTTTAGTTACTCTTGATCTTTTTTAAAACTATTATACATTTTCATCTCAAACGGTGTCTCCCAATTCGCATTTTTCCTATTAAATTCTTTTCCGTAATCATGCGAACAAAAGTTAGTTCTGGCTTTGTCACTCTAAGCTCACTCTAATCTTTGCTGACTCTTGATTGTGTCCAATAAAAATTGTATGTAGAATAGACATTTTGTTTCTTGAAGTGTCACCCGTCTTTACTGGTCCAAAAAACTTCCTTAGGATTTTTCTTCCAAAAACTATCAGTTTCATTTCCTCCGTTTTCCTTAGGAACCAATTTTCCGAACCATAATAATAACAATAATAAATAATAATTACTGGGTGTATTAGTGTGATAAATCATTATTTTTCTAATGTACTTTTGACTGGGACCGTGTCTCTAATATAATCGAGAGTGCAAAAGAGCATTTGTTTCCTGACAGAATTCTTGATACTATTTCTTAGTCAATCTCATTTTTTTTTCTTGTCAGTATTGAACCTAAGTATTTAAATTGTTTGGCTTTGTCGAGCTCACTAACAAATAATCTCACTCTGTACTACTATACACAAACGTTATACAATTTCGCAGGAAAACCATTCGAAATCGGAATTAATACCCTGATGCACGCAATATACATAGGTATTATGCAACATCATTACATCAATGAAACGTTCATTGTAATAGTCAACAGTTAGGTATATCTAATTAACTAGCCGTTCGGAATTAAATTGTTTTATAAATTAAAACAGTTTTCTGACGAATATTTTGCTTTGAAGTTTGTAATTAAAAATGTAGAAACGTTGTAATTCAAAGAAGTAAAATATATCAAAAATTAAAACTGTAAGAAAATATTATTAATTTTTAAACATGTAGCTGTTTAATAACATCAAATTTTGTAAAAATATATTTCTAGAAACGTTAACAATTTTCCAGTTAATGAATGTTTACTGTTGAAAACAATCACTCTGTTGTCTGTACTTATTATATTTGTTGACACATTTAAACACTGCGAGTAGCGACACTTGTTTTATAATATTCTTTACAGCAATTATAATGGTTTAATGAGAACATTTGTAATTATTTCTCATTTACTAACAATAATAATTTGATGGCAACCTTTAGTAGATTGATAAATAAATTACTGTAATCAAGACTACTATTGATTCAAAGTCAGCGAGGAAACAAATTCTCTATTTATGTCTTGATACTTATAGTATTTTAGTTAGTAATTAGAACATATTGTTCGATTCTAACTAGGTAAGACTTTAGGTAAGTACTTATCTAATCATACATTTTGTTGGACTCATTTAAACACTAAGCATACTGACACCTGTTTTATAATATTGTTTACAGAAATTATAATGGTTTTAATGTGAACATTTGTAATTTTTTCACATTTACTAACAACAATAATTTGATGAGTACTTATAGTATATTGACAAATAAATTACTACAATAACGACTATACTATTGATTCAAAGTCAGTGACGAAAAACTAGAGGAAACAAATCCTCTGTTTTTGTTTTGATACCTATAATATTAGTATGAACTTGTAGTTACACAGTGTTCGGTTCTTTCTCAGAGGTGTGCTGTTTCAAGTGGAAATTATCAAATTGAGTCTTAACACAATGAACTAATCGTTTTTGAAACATGACATATTTTTAAGTTACTTGAAGGTTATTTTGTGGTACCTCATAACGTTTACCGGGTATGAATAATATTTTCATTATCGTTATTATTATTACTATTATTGTAAATCGATCCCTATACTCTCTTCTCGCTATACCTATAACTGCACACGCGTACAATGACGTATATGTCACATCATGTAAGTGTCTCCAATGGAAAAAAAACTTTAGGTAACTTCCCTACAACTTTTTGCAAAACAATATTATTCATACCGTAATATTTCAAAATATATTATACTATACATATTATATATTATATCGAACATCAGTTTGTTTACGTCGCATTTGGAACGGGTAAACTGTTTATTACACATACGAATTCGAACAATGTCTTTGGATCAAAATTCATAACCACGGCAATGAGCGAAGATGCCTCGGTAAGTATACTTAACCCTCGTAATGTGTTCTCATATAAGTACTATAAAGGGATGGAAAATTTGTTTGTAGTTTTTCATCGTATGCTGTTCTACAATAATATATTATTTTAAACGTTTAAAACGTTCGTTTTGTTTTAGATTTCGAACCATAGTACAATAATATAAACGTTGTAGCTAGGTAGCATATTATATTTTTATTTCAATTCACCCGAGCAACGCTTTTTTCTGTAATCTCACCGATGTACTTTATTAGTAGTTACTTCAAGTAGTCATTAGCGTTATAGAGATATAAAAAAAATCTATCCGATTTTACAAGCACCGACAAATCGTACAAAGCAATTTAAAAAATGTATCTAGTAAGTCAACGATACCATCAATCTTGTACAGGTATACGGTATGTGTTTTTGAATAATTATAATTTATAAAATGAACAAAATGTGCGCAGCAGTGTATTATGCACATTATAGCCAATGCTTTTAAGTACAACGTCGTGATTTTTGCTTGGAATCCCACAAAACTATACATATTAGAAGTGAAAACGTTTATTTTTATAGTATGCTAATCGAGAAAAATGTTTAACAGTTTTGCGTTTGTGTTAAATATTAATTTATATTCTTTAGTATGTGCGTTTGTATTGAAACGTTTTCTGTACCGTTTCGGGTGTAAAATATAAATAAATAAATACATAATAATAATAATAAAAATAATTACACGGCGTTAAGTATTTTAAATGCACGACATGCACAGCCCTTTATATTCACCCTTGTAATGCACGCGCGTGTGAAAACAAAATGACGAACCAAATAATTAAATGTGTATACATAGTAATATTATGAGTTATGTTATATTAATATACATTTTTATTTATCGTTATTAAAACTTTTTAAGGCTACCTGCAGGCCCATACATTCGACTTACTTTTATATTAAAATAATGTATAGTTGTAGGTGTATAATGGGGAACTAAAAGTTTTTACTCACACACACACACACACACACACACATTATTATACCGTGGTATGCACGGTAGACACATGTAATTTTGGCCCCGTATTGCCGTTAAACAATTATTGTGTCCACGGACACAATGCCTACATCGTAAATGAAATTATATTATTTTTATGCGCACACGCGATTTTATTGTAGGGTAATACCTAACGCAAGTTGTACAGCTTTGAGTCTTTGAATTGTCGTATTGTTATAGGCGTATTGTGCTTATGGTAACCTATAAGCCGTTGTCATCAATCGCTTCCGATTGACGAAACATACTTTTTATGTCTTATTATTATCGTTATGAAATAATACAAATACTGTGGATATTAGGAGCACAATGTGAGAAAAATACAATAGTATAAAGTTTCCCTAGACTCTCCCATGTTTATAGTGTGGAATGGGAAAAAAAACTGATCGCGATCGCCACAAATTGTATACATTCCCCGGTGTACACAAAAAACGAAAAATTTTTGATTTGCTTTAAAATTTGTTATGTCTAGAAGAATTAATTTATATAGTACCTACAATGATAAAATTTCAGTAAGAGTATTTCTTTTTTCAAGTATGACATGATTTCGATGAATTCCGTCCATGTCATTCGAGGTAGTACCTACCTCTAGAAATATAATATATTTTTTTACTTGTTTAAACTTTTAAACACATAATATTATCTTCTAACTCTACAAAACATTAATAAAAATATAAAGGGCTTTTTTAGTGTGTGGTAAAATATTATATTCATCGTCGATGGGATTACCGGAGTCTTTCTCAGTCCTGTCCGTGGCAGTGGAAGTCAGAGTCAACTGTTTTTTATTTTGCTCACAAACAATAAGGAACGTATGTATTTTTTTTTTATTGGTCTTGAAATTGTACAATGTCTGCTTCGACTACTGTGGTAATGAATGTATATCGAATTTAATTGTTGTACAACCGATTATATTTTTTTTCATACACACATTTTAAGTGAGCATAATTTATAGTTTCTAGCTTAAATTCTAACGAAACAAAGCATATAAAGCTCATACGTTACATGAAACCAATATCATTTTTAACACAATAACAATAATAATAATAATAATAGTTATATTAATAACAATAATAACAATAATAGTTATATTAATAACAATAATATATAATAATAATAGTTATATTAATAATAATAGCAACACGAAGTCTGTTTGTATACCGTCTTAAACGCTGTTGGTAACATTCATATAGTTTAAGACGTCGAAAACGATTTCCGATGCGTTCTAATCAATTAAACGTTTAAAAGTTTCAGCGACCTTCCACGCGAGATCGGTCGCTTTCAATGGCTCACACGGTGAAGTATTATGTCACGACACGTCACGACCCGTCACGACACGTCACGTCACGACACGTCATGACACGTTACACGATCGGCGCGTCATGGGAGACCGCGGTGTACGGCACGTACAGCACAGTACTCGCGTGTGATACCCCACCGAAGTCGTGTACACGATTACCACTATCACGGTTGTACGACAACACGTGGCAATTATTGAGATCGTTTTCAACCTCGATGACGGATTGTCGGGCCGTCGACGCGGGGAAAACAATCCCCCAGAAGGGTGTGAGTATGTTGGGTTATCTAGCGGAAGAGAAAAAAGCGTAACCGAGGAAAAATGAGTTGAGGTAGAACAGCGGTTTGCAATAATTGTTTATATTTAGCATCAGCTATCTAGAGTCGACCGAGTATACCAATAATGGTCTACAGCTCAACTTGTAAACCAATATGGTTACCTGCAGTTGTAACCGTGATTACCACACGACGTTGCAGTAAATCTGGCGAGTACGTACATTTCTATACTGATTAATATGTTGTTCCGTCGCAATACGATGCGACCGATGCGACGAATACAAACCGTTTTGTTTTTCGTCGCATTTGTCGGACTCACGTAGGACACGTTCGCGTTCGAAGGCGTGGTAATCACGGTTATGACTGCAGGTAACCATATATTGGTTTACAAGTTGAGCTGTAGTCCATTATTAATATACTCGGTTGCAACTTGGCCGTGTGACATGATACCCAAAAAACTAATGTCCAATCACAATGCGATTTTATCGACATGGCACGACACATGGTTTTAGTGTATTAAGTGTGGTAATATACATAATATTATGGTACAACGATCATATTTTGATATCGTCGTCGAGGAATAAAAAACATACAGAACTCATGTGTGACCTTGGCTTCGTGTTCGAACCGCTGTGGAGTGAGATTTTACGTGAATATAATAATATAAATTTGTATTTCTTATTATCATAATGTTATCACGTCCTTTGGTCGGCGCAGTGAATAGGCAATTTAGCTACACTGGTGTGCAGTTCTACATAATATTATTAACTTGAACACGCGTGACTTCTGAGACTGTTTTGGTTACACCACGCAACGATCGACTTTTTAAAACGGGCAGGAATCACCAGCTTTTCGACGCTGAATAAAGTGTAATTAAAAAAAATCAGGTATTATAATTATTATACGGTCAAACTTCTATTCTATAGATACTTGTAATATTTGTATCCTCCAAAGTATATTTATCAGTAATATTATAATAATAATACTCAGAAATATATTGTTATCATTAAATGTCAAGCAAATCAAGAATAATATTTATAATTTATATCATATTATAAAATTAACATTTCACGGTTATTATATTATTATAATAATTTTAAACATTAATTAAAATATACATAATACCTCACTAAATGATGTTACGTTTGTCTGCACGTCGTTGTCTTGGATTAAAATAAAAAAAAACTGCTTATTAGATTTAACTTTATTTTTTTGTCTTAGAAAATGTATATAATATTATAAACAACCGTTGAATATGCCTGTTTAACCTTGTACAGGAAAAAAAAATTTTAAAAAAAACATGTGGGTAATTCATTCGAATAAATGAACATGAAACGACTTGAAACTTTAGTAATAATTGCTATATAGAACTTTAAACTCTAATTAGAGAATAGAAACCATTCACTTGGTTTTTTAATGTGTTTTCTTATTTTTTTTCTAATTATTAAATTATTGTAATTACACGTAAACAAAACCATCGAAACGCTGCTTTCCCTTTCAACCGTAATATTTTGGTTTCAAACCAAACGTTTTTACGAAATTATCTTTTCATCATTTTCATCATACACTCTATCTTAATGAAGAAAAACTTTTTTCGTTGTTTAAACGTTTCTCGTTTATAAAGCTCTGTAATCGTAAAAATAATTATGCCATCTGGTCACGAAAAAAAATTAATAAACGAAAAGCATTTTGATGTGATTATGTTCGTGAGGGTAGGTACATTAGACAACGTGGTTATGCCCCGTACATCTCCCAGTACATTATACATGGTATTATGTTAAATGGAAATTAAGAGGAGCGGATTAACGGAATAAGAGCTCAAGTGCCCAACCCCTGAAGTATAGTGTGCACATTTATTTTTAATTCGACAGTTCGACGTTGTGGCGTGCGGTCGGTGAAGTGATTTAATAACGAAACCAACATTTGATTTATTCGCCGAGACTATAATAATATGTCATTATAATATTGTATGCGGGAAATAGTGTTTATAATAAACTGAAAAAAAAATGGTAGAGATAATATTATAATGGAAACGAAAAAATACGAACGAAATTTACTGAGAGTCGTGCAGTGCGTATTGCGCGTTAAATAAAAATGGATCACCTGGTGTTATGTGTGACGTTATTTTTTATCGGAAAAGCGTGTGTCACGCGAAGGAATGAAGGGGAAAAATCGTTAAGAAAACGGCTACGTTCTTCTCCTCGATCGGACGTATGCGGTCGGTTCAGTCTGTATATATATATATTAATAAATTGTGTACTGGCGATGACAAAAGCTCGTGGAACACACTCACATATATATGTGTGTGTGTTTATACGTAAGTGACTTTTTGATGGTTATACTCGTGTCGCGATACGGAGACGACGTCTTTGCAGGACAATATGCTCCAGGAACTTTGATGGCTGGGGGAGGGAAGGTCTACGCGATGGTGAGTAGGATATCACGACGATAAGAAAGAGGAGGAGTTCGGTTTATGGGCAAACGCCACGTACATAATATATATATAAACGTAGTTTTCCGTCGTGTCATGTAACAATATTACACTCGACTCGCTCGCCACCATCCGTCCGTCCGCCGTCCGACTATCTGTTAAAGTCGTCAAAGTCGATGCATTAGGGGACACTATATATATATATATATATATATATATATGTATACTTATATATATGTGTACTTTTATATATATACATGTACTTGTATATATTATATATATCACACAGCCCCGATGACGACGATGATTACGACGCGTTATCCGTCTGCGGAAAAGCTCGATCCCTTTCACGAAAACGATCGCAGTCCATCCGGTGCTCCCGGGTCCGTGTCTAAAAACGGCGGCCACCATTAAATAAATTGCACAAAATATAATATGCAACACGCTGCCGGTGTATTATAGGTACGTCGACAATCGCGTGTGACGTATTATCGTTATGTGCATGTCATTTGTAAGCATGTGTAATGTGTAACACATGAGCGCCGGGTGGCGTTATTGAGTCACGATACATTTTCGTTACATTGTTATTGTTACAAATTATACTATGATATACGCAGTAAACTCTTTTATTTCGTGTGACCGATTTGGATTCTCGAGGTTGCAAGAGTTTTACAAATAAAAAACCGTATGACGTAATAATATGTCACGTTCTGTGTAATAGTTGCGCCACAGCCTTGAAATGGTCGTGTGGACGCGATGACGCCGATCGTCCGGCCACTTGATAATATATTATATATTATATCAATCGCTCGTGCAGAGCAACTCTTTTTTCCTTTATTATGTTCTAGTCCTGGTTTAAACGCATTTGCACACACAACGCTACAACACGCACCCTTCGCACACCACTATCATCGATCCAGTGAATCATCATTGTGTACTGCAAAGGCCCTCCACCATCGCCACTATAGCCCTTTGAGAAATCTAAACGAAACATAATATCACGTAATCTGTCTCAGATATTTTGCGGTGGTGCCTAAGTGTCGAGATGAATCTGAGAGTGTTGACCAGCGTTAATAACGATTCGTTTACACCACAGCCGTCAACTGGAAACCTGTGGACGCGTCCTTCGATTCTCTGAAACTAACTTTGATGTGTAATACTACACTGGTGCGCCGGTTTTTTGAACAAGTTCGATTGATTCTGTGAAAATACTTTGCAGTCTGAGCTTTTTTTTTACCGCAGAAATCGAAACTCAAAAGCCGTCGTTCAACGCAGAAAAAAATATGTTGATACCGATGCGGTGAAGGATTAATGTCAATCATCATCAATTCTTTATCTTCATAATATTAAGTCCGAATAAACTGCATGATTCGAATATTGTAACTACTCAAACGAAGAATATTGTTTGTAATGTTATTGATACTAGTAAATACTAAGTAATAATATGTTAATAATGTAAAAAATATTACAATTAAATGAGTTATCAAAACAGAATACTATGTTTTGATAACTCGTTGAGTACATATACACTGATGAAACTCTTTTATTTTGAGTATTTTATTTAAATATGTTAACAAGTACCTATTATCGATAGCTATATCTATATGACTATATTCCTTGTTTGTGTTAAGTCGTGGAGACACGACTAACGCATTACTAGAATAGCTAATAGTGGGTATAAATGTAGGTACTTTTTCATGAATTAAAATTTTATATATAAATAATACATTTCAAGAGTGTATAAGTATATCAATATGCGTATGTGTATGAAGACACACAACTACGGTCGTCTGATAACGTTTGTTACCACAGTTTTTCTCACACAAATGGTATTATAAGTTTTACGGATAACTGCAGGGTCTCTAGTATAATAATACTATTAACATTTTTTCGGTAAGAAGTCACGAGATAAACAAGGGACTTTAAATCTGCTAGTTGATTCGTAAAGTGCTCATGAAACGAACTCTAGAAATTAGAATCTAAAAGCGAATTTACAGTCATTGGTTTTGACGAACCGTTCGTTATTCTCAAATATTATAACAAAACGACTAGAAACATCTCGTTACTCCCGTATATAGACGGAAGATCATTGTATAAAGACGATTGTACGACAGCAGTGAAACGGAATCAAAAGTCGATGTCGAATAAATACAACTTAGGTACTACTATATTAAACCGTGCCGTTGTAGCAGTAAAACTATTTAGCAAAGTTCATTATTATCAATTAAAAAGGAATCAATTCGCTTCGTTTTGCCGCTGCGACGTCGTCTCGCGTTCTCTAGAATACTTCACAGTTTATAAATATTTAATTTGACTACCGTTTTCGCTCGAACTGGACGAAATTAATAATATCGTATAATACAAAACGGTCTCGACGTATAATATTATATTATAACGTCGATTGTTCGACGACGACGAACTGATAGTAATTCGACAGTGCGCCGAGACACAAAAGGAACGACGAGGGCACAATCGAATCCAGATCGTTTTTATTCGCGAAATCATAATACTCCTACATAATAATAGTATAATAATAATAATATAGTTTTTGTAATATTATATCATCAGGTGATATTATTCAATATAATATATATAGCCGAACGCT